GTGAAAGGGGGGTTTCCCAAAGGGGGGGGACAGCCCCTAGGACCTGGGCTTTTTCCCTTGGTTTTTGGGGGAACGACAAAAAAAAGGGGGGGGGGAAGGGGGGATAGATCCAAAAAGGGGTCCTTGTTTGCAGTTTGTTGTAAAGGGTTAATGGGGAAGAATAAAATTCGGTGGGACAGGCAGGACTACAAAGAGCCCTGGACAGGCTAACAACCCGGGTTCCCCCCCCAATGGCTCCTTGAGTTTAACCCTGTAAAAATCCCAAAGTCATGAAGATTTGGGGAAGGGCAAAAAAGACACGGGGCCCACAATATAGTTTAGAGGGCCCAAAGACTGAAAACCTCATCAAGGAAAAAGTTTGGGGGTGTGAGTATAAAACCGAGCATTTCCTGAGGGCACATAAATCAGATAACTGCTCCCGCATACGGGCCCCTGGAAACCTACGGTTTAGCGTTCCGTTTTACCTCAGTAAGGGTTCGTTCAAGACCCCGTTTACCTTTCTCGTCGGGCCCCATACTGGAGTATGCAGCACCAGTTTGGAATCCACACCTAGTCAAGCACGTCAAAAAAATTAGAAAAAGTGAAAAAGGTTTGCAAAAAGGGGATTTGCCCCGGGAGTACGGGGATTGTCCTACGAAGAAAGGTTGGGGGAAAATCGGCCTGACGAAAACTGGGGGCCCAAGGAGGGTCAGGGGAGAATGATAACAAACATATAAAATACTGCGGGGTTTGGGAAAAGGTGGAAAAAGGGACAGGATGTTCCAGAAATGGGACCCCGGGGACACAAGAGGTCAAATTTGGAAGTTAAAGGGACTCAGTTTGACCCCGAAGGGATGTTTAGGAAATATTTTTCCCAGTTGGGAGTAGTCAAGTCTTTGGAAATAGTCAAAGAAAGTAAAAGTAGGGGGAGGCAGGAAACCTTTCATATTTTTAAAGGCCCGGAGGTATAAAAAAAGGGTTCATGGGAGGGGAGAGGGAGGACCTAGTGAAATCAGTGAAGAGGGGGGGGCCAGGGCTAGGGAATGGGACCCTGAAACCACAAATAGGTGATTTAAAAAATAGGTGAGTCCCCAAAAAAACCACACAACAAAACCACATTTGGGGAAAGGGGGGAAACCTACATATTTTTAAGGCGAGGTATGAAAAAAGTCAGGAGCAGGGAGAGAGGGCCCCCTAGTAGTTCAGTGATGAGGGGGGGCCCAGGAGCTTTGAATCGACCCCTGAAACCACAAATGGGTTTGATTTCCCACACACACGAGCGCAAACTTTGGCTTCTAGAGACGAAAAGACTAAATTTTTAACGCGGGTTTAGGAACTTTTTAAAGCTTTTAATTGATTTTTGAATTTGGGGAAGGGGATTTTGGGGCCCATTTTCCCGAATTAAGCCTAAAATGCCTCCAAATCCCCCCCTGGGCGCTGTTTTAACCCTAGGGGGTTTTTTTGGGCGTTTTCCCCTTTGATTATAATAATAAAAAAATTAAAGTGATTTGTTAATGGCCCAAAGTAGGATAAAACGTCGTTACATAAGTTTCTTTCACCTGTGTGGGGAAATTTTTGTGTTTTAACCCCCAAGAACCCTTTGGGGAAAAAATGCTTTTAAAATATTTTCCGGAAATACGGAAAATTTATAGGAAAATTAGATCCCCTATATTGTTTTTTTAAAAGAAGTATTTTAATCGAAAAAAAAGGTAGAGAACTCGCCATCTTGGTTTTTAAATTTTGTATTAGAAACGTTGGTGGGGGGGGAAGAATTTTTCGTGCTTAGAGGTTAAAATTGTGGGGCACTCCAAAGGGGAGGCAAAAATTTGGGTGGTTAGGCATTCCGGCAAAAACGGGATATCAGGCGAGGGGACAAGACCTCTCCAGAACCTCAGTTAAGTCTTATGTAGTAACCTGGCCAGTGTTTTTTTTCATAGAACAGTGGGTTTTCTGAGTAAGATATACATTAAACTTCCCGCAATTGGTGAGTGATATTAAGATTTATTTTCCTTTGTTATGTAATTGTTGTATATATATAACCATTTATTAAATTTTTAATATACAGTCACAAAATTTATATATTTACCAGCCCTTCCGGTGATGTATCTTTTATTTATAAATTTTAAGGGGCCCGAGAACTTGTGGTTAGACAGTGGTAGGTACGAAGGGGGAAATTTTTTGGGGGACCCTTTGGTTTTCCCCAAAATTCCCAAATGTTCCCCCCCCAAATGAATTTAAAAATAATTTTTCTTTTCATTTACTGTTAGGGATTTTAATTTATAAATTCAGATAAATGCAATTTTCCACATGTGATATGCTTGCACTGGGAAACTCAGGTAAGGGGCAAGCTTTAAGAAAGTTTTTGGGGAATTGGCCCGGCCCTTTCCCAAAATGAAACCGTGTGCCCGTTGGGGGGATATCCCCGTTTTTACTCCGAAAAAACCATTAGTAATCAAGGGGGCCATTGTTTTTATAAAAGGCATAACCCAAAAACTCCCGAAACAAATCAGTGACCCAAAGGGTAAAACCCGGCTCCCCCTGACACCCCTTGTTTTCATTTTATTGATAGAGTAGCGCTTGCAAGGGTTTTCAGGAAATCAATTTAAGAAATCAAAATTTTAAAATTTCCCCGGGGAAATTTTTTTATAAGGAAAAGGGGTGTGAAAGGAAAAAAAGTATATTTGTATTGTTCTGCATATTTATTAGTAAATTATTTTTATAAAATTTTCCCAAACCCTATTTACCAATTTTTCAACCAACAACAAGGGAATCCCGTGAAGGTTCCCTTTTAAACCAGCAGGGCTTTTTTATTTTGGATTTTTATTATGGGCACATGAAAGGTTATTTGGGTTTCCCATTTAAGAGAGACTTAAAACTTGTGTATACTAAATAACAAAAAACGCTTAAAAAACCTTCGGGTTAAAAACTCCGTTAAACCCAGGGGAAGGGAGTCTAAGACCGGGACCTTTTACTCTACTTTAAAAATTTACATGAGGTTTTAAAGCAAGGATACAAACCACGGGGGTTTCTTTGTTCAGACCCCAACTCGCAATTTAAAAAGGGTTTTTTAAAAATTTTACACCTAGTTAATAAATTTAATCCCAAAGGTTGGGGCCGGGCGCGAGGTCCCCCCCCGTTGGCACAGGCCAGCGGCCAGACCCGCCCAAACCTAGAACTTGTAGAATAAGCAAGTTTATTTAGGTACAGGTACAAAAAAGTACAGTAATTATACATATTAACATGTGAGTTAATTATCAATTATCTAGGATAACCCCAGTAAATCAGACAGACTTGTTTTCATTCGGGTCCCTGTAACATCTTATTATTTAAAGCCTAGCTGTAAGTTATAGTATAAATCAAACCTTTATTAACGACATTTCTCAAGGGATAGAGCTTTAAAGTCATGATGACAGGATAAAGTCATCACCATATTGTCGACAGTACCCAACATCTAACAAGCCTGGAACGGCTGCCCTCGGCTGTTCATTTTCCTCTCACACCATCCAAAATGCTGCCAGTAAACGATTTCAACACTGATTTAAAATAATAACACAACTATTAAACTAATAATAAACCTACATCACAGAATGGAACCTCAGTGGGCTGCAGATGTTGCGTAGAATTCCGATCGATAAAGTAACATTGTGTACGGCCTCAGTCGATTCGAAAAGTATTGGAGTGACACCTCATTGTACTGGAGGTGTGGAAAAGTCAAGGCGTGATGGGGACAACTTGAGCTGGGTTATTGAAGAAGATGGTGGCACCGGAGATGCTGAGACCGGGAGAATCCCCTAAGCTCACTTCAGACCCCAAGGAGGTACCCAAATTCACTTCAGATCCAACGGAGTTACCCAGTGAGCTTCCAAATCTCACCTCAGAGCCTTCAGGGGGCCCTGACACCAGAGAAGAAGCTACAGGGCCTGATGACCCACTCTTTGGCCTGAGGAGACAAAAAAAATTCACTTGAAATTGCTGAAAGGTTTAAGTGTGATGAAAAAAATCATAATCGGTATTTGTAATGGTTGTTAGTTTACAAAGAATATTACCTCTGATCAACAAGTTGTGAAAATGATTTGTCCGAGTATAAGTTGTGTCTTAGTTTGTCAGACAATAAACAGGCTATAAACTGACGGGAACTGTTACATAACAACAGAAAAATAACGAAGACTATATTTTCATTTCAATTTACAGAAAATAACGTATTTAATTTAATTAATTTGACTTTTAACTATGATTTTCAGCCAGTGAGAACGTTTGAGAGAGTAATAAGGCACAATATCGTACTGAAACAGTACACAACCTGTACATATCTAGGATCTGGCTTTGTGGATAAAGTACTACATACTTTGATGAAGAGTGTGAAGGTTTGAATCCTACTGTTTATTGAGATAATATTTACATATCTGTGTGTTGAGAGAGTCTAACCTGGCGCGGCTGACACTGAGATGGTCAGAGGACACTTGCACCTCGCCGACAAAGGAACCATATTGCTCGCTAGGGAAAACAAAGGTCTCTACCTCCCTGGTACCGTCTGTTAACACCGCGTCGTCGTCACCTCCCTGTGGACGACATGATATCTGTCCGGCCAGACACACCACCAGTGCCAGACTCTGAAACACAACATTCAATGTAATAGTTATGCGACTGTGACCCCTCATATGCAAAATGACTATAATTATAATCAAACCACTGGTAAGCCAGTGGAAGGCCTCAGTCAGATGACAAAAGGTCCAATTGTGGGTCATCATATGGCTAATACCCGCGTCAGGAAACACTTGTCCTGTTTCCTGACAAACCTAACCTAACCTAACCTGTTATCCCTCTTAAACTTCTCTGTTTTTCTAAATTGTGCATATTTTTTTTTCCTTCCACAGCACTGTCTCAGTAGAACAGTGCTGAATAATAGGTCTCATTTTGCCCTGTGTTTGTATGCATAAATAGTTTTTCT